GAAGGGGTTGTGGGGGGGACACACAGGGTTTTGGTTATGGGAAGCAGAGCCTCTGCCTTGTGGGTCTGGGCCCAGCCAGGTGCCTCCGTCAGCCTCTGGCTCCTGTCCTGTGCCCCATGGGGCAGCGGGGCCCTGGGGCAGGCCCGGCCCTCGGCCTCGGGGCAGGTCAGGGCGCAGTTTACAGCATGGGGCAGGTGTCAGGGACTTGCCTGCTGTGGGTGTCCCCAGCTCGGAGCTCCCGGCCCACCATTTGCACGGCTCCCCGGGGAGCCATGGGGCCCGGTGCTGGCCCTAGTGCAGCGGCCAGGCCAGGCCCTCCCAGGGCCACACTCACGCAGTAGTAGCAGCTCCAGCCCGTCTCGGTGTGCGCTGTCTCCGTCACCTCCACGGAGCTGCTGTTGTGCAGGAAGCCCATGCGGCGCAGACAGCCGTCGTGGTAGACCCGGGTGCACACCCTGCAGGGGAACAGGCTCTCCGCCGTCCACACCTCGCAGATCTCGCACATCTCGTCGCTGCTCACCTGGGAGTGGCAGGCGGGAGAGACGGGGGGAGTGAGCGGGGGGGGCGTCACACAGACCGCCCCCGCCCCGCATTCCCTCGGCCTGCAGCCCTCGGCCTGCCCGGGGCAGCAACGCAGAGTGCAAGGCCCCGAGGCCAGGATCGGTAACTAGAGAGGGGGCTGTGTGCGGGGAGAAGGGGACTCAGCTCCTGTGGGGATGGGGGCCACATGAGAGAGAGGGCAGGGGATGGATAGACTGAGGGGTACGTATGGGGATGGATGTAGGAGGTGTGTGTGTGGGGGGGATAGACACAGGGGTGTGTGGGGTAGATGGAGAGAAGGGTGGATAGACAGGTGTGTATGGCAATGGATGGATGGATGGATGGATGATTGGATGAAGGGGTGTGTAAGGGGAGGGAGGGATGGAGGGGTACGTATGGGGAGGGATGGAGGGGTGTGTAGGGGGATGGATGGATGGAGGGGTGTGTAGGGGGATGGATGTGTAGGGGGATGGGGTGGGATGGAGGGATAGAGGGGGTGCGTATGGGGATGGATGGAGGGGTGTGTAGGGGGAGAGATGGATGGAGGGAGCGATGGATGGGCATGGAGGGATGTGTGTGTGTGTGTAAGGGGATGGATATGTAGGTGGATGGGGTGGGATGGATGGGGAGAGATGGAGGGATGGAAGGGTGTGTAGGGGGAGAGATGGATGGATGGAGGGAGGGAGGGAGTAATGGATGGGTATGGATTGGTATGGAGGGATGTGTGTGTAAGGGGATGGATGTGTAGGTGGATGGGGTGGGATGGAGGGGTGTGTAAGGGGAGGGATGGATGGGGAGAGATGGAGGGATGGAGGGAGCGATGGATGGGGATGGAGGAATGTCTGTGTGTGTGTAAGGGGATGGATGGATGGAGGGAGGAGTGTGTTGGGGGAGGGATGGAGGAATAGAGGGGTGTGACGTTGCACTCCATATGTTTTATGGAAGTATGCTAATGAGTGTGGATATGATGTATCTGGAATATGCTTTATGCAAAAGGTCTCTTGTAAGGTATCATTACAAAGCTTATAATCTACTGAGTGTGATCATCCTATTTGTATGAATGTATCACTCTTGTATCTAAAACTAGAAATATCAGAAGTATAACTCTGAGGTCCTATTGTAATTATGCAAAGTGTGGGCCATTAATGGTGGCTTAGGATCTTGATGGCTCCCATTGACTAGGACAATTGAATGGGTTTATTTACCTGCAAGTCTTCCTGTGTACCTGACATGGCTAATGAAGAATGAGGTCTCACAGGACATGTGACCATGTCACCTGATACTGGAATCCATCTTAAACCTGGTGATTCTCCATTTAGAAGGAGGGGTGGGGACCCAGAGAGACAAAGGATTCCCGCCTTGTGCCAAAGCTATAAAAGGGGGTGGAGCAGGACAAAGGGGGGCTGCCAGTCATGAGAAATCCCCTAGTTACCACCTGATCTGGAACTAACAAGGGCTGTACCAGGGGAAAGGATTGGGCCCAGACTAGGAAGGAGTCTAGTCTGTGAAAGAAGCTTATTGGAACATCTCTGAGGGTGAGATTTACCTGTAATCAGTTTCTTAATGTATTAGCCTTAGACTTACGTGCTTTGTTTTATTTTGCTTGGTAACTTAGGGCTTGGCTACACTCGAAACTCCAAAGCGCTGCTGCGGGAGCACTCCCGCGGCAGCGCTTTGAAGTGTGAGTGTGGTCACGGCGCCAGCGCTGGGAGAGAGCTCTCCACCTCCACGAGGGGATTAGCTTACAGCGCTGGAAGCACAGCTCCCAGCGCTGGGGCACTGTTTACACTGGCGCTTTACAGCGCTGTAACTTCCTGCACTCAGGGGGGTGTTTTTTCATACCCCTGAGTGAGAAAGTTGCAGCGCTGTAAAGCGCCAATGTAGCCAAGGCCTTATTTTGTTCTGTCTGTTATTACTGTTGGGGGGAGGGATAGCTGAGTGGTTTGAGCATTGGCCTGCTAAACCCAGGGTTGTGAGTTCAATCCTTGAGGGGGCCATTTAGGGATCTGGGGCAAAAATCTGTCTGGGAGTTGGTCCTGCTTTGAGCAGGGGGTTGGACTAGATGACCTCCTGAGGTCTCTTCCAACCCTAATAGTCTATGATTCTATACTTGGAACCACTTAAATCCTACTTTTTATGCTTAATAAAATCACTTTTGTTTATTAATTAAACCAGAATACGTGATTAATACCTGGGGGAGCAAACAGCTGTGCATATCTCTCTATCAGTGTTAGAGAGGGCGGACAATTTATGAGTTTGCCCTGTATAAGCTTTATACAGAGTAAAACAGATTTATTTGGGGTTTGGATCCCATTGGGAACTGGGTGTCTGTATGCTGGAGATAGGTGACCTGCTGAGCTGTTTTCAGTTAAGTCCGCAGCTTTGGGGGTGTGGTCCAGACCCTGGGTCTGTGTTGCAGCTGGCTAGCATGTCTGGCTCAACAAGGCAGGGTTCTGGAGTCCCAAGTTGGCAGGGAAGACATGCTCAGAGGTACTTCCAGGTGACAGTCCCAAGGGGGTCTCTGTGACCGAACCCATCACAAGGGGTATGTAGAAGGAGGGATGGAAGGATGGATGGATGGAGGGGGATGGATGGAGATGGAGGGATGTGTAAGGGGATGGATGGAGGGAGGGAGGGATGGAGGAATGGAAGGGTGTGTAGGGGGAAGGAGGGATGGAGGAATGGATGGATAGAGGGGTACAGATGGGGATGGATGGATGGAGGGATATGGATGGTGAGGGATGGAGGGGTGTGTATGGGGAGCGATGGAGGGGTGTGTAAGGGGAGGGGTGGAGGGATGGATGGAGGAGTGTGTAAGGGGGATGGATGGATGGAGGTGTGTGTCTGGGGAGGGAGAGATGGATGGGCAGGGATGGAGGGGTTTGTAGGGGGCTGGATGGATGGATGGAGGAGTGTGTAGGGGGCTGGCTGGAGGGATGGATGGATGGAGGGGTGTGTAAGGGGAGGGCTGGAGGGGTATGTATGAGGATGGAGGGATGGATGGATGGGTGTGTTGGGGGATGGATGGATGGATGGATGGAGGGGTGTGTAGAGGGATGGATGGATGGAGGGATGGATGGAGGGGTGTGTAAGGGGAGGGATGGAGGGATGGATGGATGGAGGGGTGTGTAAGGGGAGGGTGTGACGAAGTGGGGGATTTTCTTGTTTTCTGTGGAGTTTCAATGGTTTGCATGCGGAGGGGGTGGGACTCAGTTTCCCTGGGTGTTACTGGTTTAACGAGGTGAGGGGAGAGGGAGTGTGTTTTGCAGAGGACCGGAGAGAGGACGTGGGGACCCAGCCGATGGCCGGGAGGATGGATACCCCAGCGACCGGTGACCTGGCGACCTGGTGACCCAGAGGCCCAGCTGAGGAGACGCAGCTGGTTCTGGCCAGTGGGAGGACAATGGGCTGCAGAGTGAGGATCCAGTGACCTAACCAGCCGGTTCCAGCCAGAGGACAGAAGCAGGAGAGGAGGCCCCGGTTTACGACCCTGTTTACCTGGAGGGAAGACAATGGACAGAGGCGGGGCCTGGGGCCGG